TGTGAGCTAGGCTGATGCCACGGCACTCACTCTAGCCCGGGCAACAGAGTGAGACTCTGTCAAAAAAAAAAAAAAAAATTTTCCGTAAGTAATTATGTCACAGAATGGGAGAATCCAGCACATTGTTCACGAAGCAAGGTGTCCCGTCCTGCCACCTGTACACGGTGTGGCCGTTCACCATGGCAGGAGGAATGAGCTGTTCTCGCTAATCTAGTGTCTTGGCTAAACAGAACCACCGTGCACACCCACACGGCGTCACGGGGACGCCCTGATTTTCAGAGCGAGCGCACAGTGGAGTGTTTACAAAGTGCCTGCCAGCAGATTACCCAGAGTCCAGTTAGCCATACAATTGCAGGGATCAAACAATTCTTCCCCTGACATCCTTACTCTGGCACCCATCCCTCTGAGCGCTTTGCTCTTCTCGTTGCAGAAAGCTGAGTTGAGCACATTCCGTTCCCCGTCCATGAGCGGCAGCACCGAGCAAGCCGCGGGACAGCACCCGTGACCTTGGCCCAGCAGAGCAGCTTAGAACAGCTTCCAAAAATAGAGGCGCTAAACGCTCGCCCCAAAATCCACAGGGCTGAGCCGAGCCCCGGGCAGGATTAAGTTAAGCCCAGGGCACCTCCACCTCCCTCTCAGCCACCTCCCTGGAACGCCAAGGCCCCGGGCATGGGGGAGCCTCCCAGGGTTCTTCCCCACGGCCACGGCAGGCACTGCTGTCCCAGGGAGCAGCACCGTCCTGGCCTGGCCCGGTTCCTGCCGTCCTCCTGGGCACCCCCACTCGGCAGACAGCCTGACACTGCCCTGCTCAGCCAGGCTTGGGGCCAGCACCTCGCCTGCCCGACGCAGCAGACCGCGCGGCTCCAACCTCACCCCGCGACCCTGACTTCACCCTGCGACCCCGAGCTGTGCGCAAACGGTGGCCTCCGAGGGGCTGCCGCCTCCTCCCGTACGCTTAATTTTCTATGCTCCAAATCCTCCATAATGAACATGCGAGAGCTACACGACCACCCACACACGCGTGTGCTCCGTCTCCCCAGGTGTGGGCCAGACCTCTTCATTACTGTCATCCTAATGGCAGCAGCCAAGCGCGCTTGCCGCTGGGCCTGCTCTGAGGGAGGGAGGTCTGTCCCGAACGTGGAGCCTAACCCTAACGCTCAGGGCCCCTGTGTGGCAACCAAGACGTTGGCATCATTGGGGGCTGCAAACCCTATTCAGTGGGTATAGAATTGGGGCCACAGAAAAGGTACAACAACCTAATTCCTGCTGCAGAGCTGCCACCCTGGGATCCAGGGAGAACTACCAGGTGGCCTCGGGGCCCTGGCAGGGTCGAGGTGGCAGACGGGGCCCCTGGGTCGTGCAGGACGACCGGCCAGCCCGCTGCGCTGGCGCACCCCTGTCCGGACAGCACTGGGTCTCCCGGTCCACGAACGGGTCCAGAGGGCAGCCCCGTCCCGCGCTAGCCTCAGAGACCGCCCGTTCCTCGGGGCAATGAGGTTGCCGGCGTTCAGCAGCGGCTTTAGGCAAAAACGCTGCAGACGGGATCTGAGCCCAGGACACCCTGGTGCACGTGCAGATTCCCGGGGCCGCTCCGCGAGGCTCGTCCTGCAGTCTGGACGGCCCTGCGGGCTGGTCTCTAACCGCCCCGTTTTGGTCGGGAACCGACACCCCATCCACCCAGGAGGCCTGGGGCGTCTGCGTCTCTGCCCTGCACCCCTCACCTTCGACCTCGCAGAGCATCAGAGGCACCCCCAAAATAGCCGTGACAACTGCCAGCAGACGTGGTGCTTGGAGACGCAAGGCGTCGGTTTGTTCCCTCAGACGCGGGTGCACCGGCTGCTCCTGCCGCTCCACCCCCCCAAAACAAACCTCCCTCCAGCCCGACACCCGGCGCGGCTTCCGGCGACAACTCAATCCTCCGCCCACCCGCGCACCCCCAGCAGCAGGGGCCCAGGTCCCCGGCCCCTTCTCAGGGAGGGAGGAGGGAGGGACGTGTGGGACCCCGGGAAGCCTCGTGCCGACGCCGCCTTGGAGGGCAGCGCGGAGCCTCGTCTGTGAGGCCCGCCTCGCCCTGCCCACGATCAGAACCTCCCCCAACACGCCTGTTGGGCACAGGGAGGGCCAGGGAGGAGCAGCAGGCGAAGCTCTGAGCACACGCTTCGTCTCCCCCCTCTGCCGGGGCCACTCCTGTGCACGCAGAGGCTCCACTGACGTCTGATCCCAAAGCGTGCACGTCGGCCCTTGGCCACGCTCCTCCCCGAGACCTTCCAACCCAGCAGCCACACTCACCCTTGCCTTGGCCTCAGCCTGAGACGGCCCACGAGCCCGGCCCCTCTCTGCCACGCCGGGGGCAGTCAGGACGCGCAGGCAGGTAAGCGCCTGCTGGCCGCCTCCGGTGGGTCTGTCTTTGGCCAGCCTCGTTCACAGACCCCGAGATGGGCAGAGGAGGGTCTCCTCCCCCTCC